GTACACCCACTAGACTGGCACACATTAACAAATTTGACATAGTAAGGGTTGGTGAGGATGTGCAGCAACAGGAACTCAATCAGTGTGGGTGGGGGTGTTCCTCAGCACAACTACCTTGGGAAACAGTTTGACAATGACTCGTAAAGTTGACCATGACCATACCCTATGACCTGGCAATTTCAGTCCCAGGTTTATATCCTAAGCAAACTCTTGTACCTATTCAAATTAGGAGAGACAAACAAGAATGTTCACAGCAGCTTTGCTTATCACAGCAAAAATGCAATACAACAAGCTACAGCTAAATACAGCAACATAGAAAAATCTTAGAGATGTAACACAGAATTGAAACAGAACATTTCAGAAGACTACTACTATGTGATATCATTTTTATAGAGTTAAACACGAGCACAATTAAACAACATATTGTTTAAGATTATACAATCTGTAGTAAATTATTTTTTAAAGAGAAAGGTCATGATAAACACACAGTTCAATTTACTTACTACCTTAGGAGAGGGGTAGGCGGTGGTATGAGACCAGGAAGGAACATAGAGGTGGCTTCAGTGGAATTTTAAGTTTGTTGGTAGGTTCACAGGAGTACATTGATTATTATGCTTCATTATTTCTATTTCGTTATATTTTTCTTTTGTATGTATCATATCGGACATATAATGAAATTTTGTTCTAATGGATCAAATATTTAAATGTAAACAGTGAAACCATAAAAGCACTAGAAGAAACCTCAGGATAAATATTTAAAAATAATCTTGGCATGAGAAAGGCCTTTCTAAATATGATAAAAATCCAGAGTACTTAAAAGATGGAGGAATCGGGCAAGTTTCACCATAAGAAAAGTTAAAAGACAACAACCAACTAGGAAAAAATATGTACAACTCATGACAAATGGCTAATTTCCCTAATACATATATAGTCCTACAAATTAATAACAAAAGCCAATTCTTTATAGAAAAATAAGCAAAAGATATGAACAGACACTTCACAGAAAAGGAAATACAAATAGACTTTAAATTCATGAAAGTGTGCTCAACCTCAGCGTAAGAGAAATGGAATTCACTGTGATATCACAGTTCATTTATACGATGGAGAAAGATGGAAAAAAAAACCTATAGCAACCACTGCTTGTCGCAGTCATTTCTCAACCCTGAGATCACTTGCCTTTACTCCTTGAAGATTTCACTCCTGGATCACTATATGTGCTCTTTAACATTGGTCCTGTCATAATTCTTGGTGATTTCAATACCAATATAGATGGATGATTCTTCCAACACATTCTCCTCATCCATTCCCTGAGCATCTCTCCTCCACTGACCTTGTCTCCACCCTCCCTTGGCCACACATTACCAATAAATTCCTGAATAATCCTATCTACAAGCAACCCACTCTCTAACCACCTTCTAACCTCCAGCTCAACTCCCTTCTAGTCCCTTTGGCCCCATCAGAATCTATGTTTCATTCATCCTGCCTTCTCTTCACTCTCCCACACTCCTCTCCTTACCTGGCTTAAACCCCTTGTTCCATTTTTGTAACTCCCCTTGCATACTATTTTCACTCTCCTGCCTTCTCATGTTTCATTGTACTCACCTGGCAAATCCCTAACTCTGGTAATATGCCACCACTCACCTGTTCTGCACCTGCATTTGTGCAGCTCTGCATGGCTGGAGAAAGTTCTCACTTGAAATCTATGACCACAAACCCCAGATGGGCCCTTAGTGCTGCCTGGCAATCACACGAGCTTCCCATGGTCATTCACTCTCCGGGACAACTACTTCATGCCCTACTGTCTCCCTCTCCATCCTCATCCTCAACTGTTGACTTGCTTCCTAATTCACTGGGAAAACAAAGCAATCAGAAGAGAATGTCTGCAAGCTCCCACGCTGGAGACACCCATTTACCCACGTCTGTGCTCAGGTTCTCTGTCTTCCCTGCTGTTTCCATGGCTAAGTGTCTATGCTCCCAGCTAAAATCAGTCCTGTGCACAAGATCCTGTATCCTTTGCTGACTAAAGGACATGGCTTTAGCAATTCTCCCTTCTATCTCTTGCATCATCATTTTTGCAGTTCTGACTAGTTTTTCTCATCAGCACGTGAACAGCTATCTTTTTTTCTTGGCCTTACACCGTGCTCCAGCAACCACCGCATTTCTTTGACCTCTTTTCGAGCAAAATTCAAGAGTCTCTCTAGTCGTTTTTCTAATCTCTCTCCTGTTCTCTCTCAGACCTACTCCTATCAGACTTCTGCCCCTCTACTCCACTGAACTAGCTCTTGTTGAGGTCACCGATGTCCCCCACATTGCTAAATCTAATGGTCAATTCTTAGTCTTCTTATCATATCCATGAGCAGCATTTGATGCAGTTGACTATTGCCTCCTTTGGGAAATATTTTCTTATCTAGGCCTCCAGGACACCTCACTCCCCTGATTTCCCTCTTACTTCATTGTCTGCTCCTTCTCATTCACCTCTGCTGGTCCCACATCTCCATGACCTCTAAATACTGCACACCCCAGGATTCAGTTCTTGAACCTCTTCTATTTTCTATCAACACTCATTCCCTCGATGATTTCATTCATTCAGATTTATATCTGCAGCCTGGACCTTTCACTTGAGATCCATACTCAAGTTTTCAGCTGCTTTTTCAACATCCCCACTTGGATGTTTAGTAAGCATCTTAAATATAATACGCCCAAAACCAAACTCACAATCTCCCTCCTCCCAAAGCTGCTCCTCCCCCTTCTCAGTGAACAGCAACTCCATCGTTCTAAGTTGCTCAGGCCAGAAACCTTGGCGATGTCTTTGACGTCTCTCTCTGTCACTTTGTTTCTCCTTCCATAACAAATCCTGTCAGTTCTTCCTATGAAGTGTATCTAGAATCCAACCACTTCTTACAATCTCCTCTCTAACATCCCTGTCTCAGCCTCCATCATCTCTCACTTAGATAATTGTCATGGCTTCCTTACTCATCTCCCTGCTTCTACCCTTGCCTCCTACACAGGACCTAGAGCGATCTTGCTAAAATATAGCATCATTCTTCTCAAAACATCATTCTTCTCAAAACCCCCAAGTGGTTTCCATGTCATTCAGAATAAAAGCCCAAGTCCTTACAATGGCCCACAAGCATGGCTTACATGCAGCCTACAAGGCCCTGCATGATCTTGCCTTCCTCCTGCCTCACCTGTTAGTTCTCTGATGTCATCTCCCCTTCTATCCCCCTTACTCCAATCACCTGGGCCTTCTTGCTGTTCCTTAAGCACACCAGGTACATGACTGCCAAGAACATTCTTCTCCCAAATTCATGCATGGCTCACTCCCTTACTTCCTTCAGGTCTTGGCTCAAATGTTATCAGTGAGGTCTTCCTTAAATACTCTACATTGCAACACCCCTTCCTGGGCACTCTCTGATCTTCCCTGATGGCTCTTTTTATCCTTAGCCCTTATCACCATCTAACATGCCACACATTTTATTCATTCAGTTACTTTATGTCTCTCTCCTCTACTAGATTGTAAGCCCATAAACACAAGGTGTTTTGTCTATTTTGGTCACTGGTTAATCCACAGCATATAGAAGAGGCCCTGGCACACAGAAGATATTAAAAAATTATTTGTTGAATGAATAAACAACATACTTAATTGGCCACAGTGTGGGGAACAGGCATTCCTAAAATTGTTGCTACGAATGTTAATTGGTATAATCTCTACAAGGGTAAATTGGCAATAACTATCAAAATTACAAATGCACATATCTTTTGACCCACTAATTCTATGTCTAGTAATACCTTTCATATGAATTCACACGTGTGCAAAATAACGCACGGACAAAGCAATTCACTGCAGCGTATTTTATCCCTGAAAAAGAGTAAAACCGCTCAAATGTCCAGCAATAGAGACTGTTTAAAGAAATTACAGTCCGTCCATACAATGGAATATTTTGCAGTAGCAAAAAACAATAAGGAGTCTTCCTGTGTCCTCATATAAGCTCCCAGATAGGTATTTTTTAGAGAAAAGGAAAGGTGCTGAAAAGTACATTTAGTATGCCAACATTTTAATAAAAATAAAGGGAAAGGTGCAAAAAGAATATATATCTGTATTTTCTCGTCTATGCACAGGCTGTCTCAGGACAGTCAAGAGACTATTAACAATGGCTGCTTATTTGGAGGGCAATGGATGGGTCAGAGGCAGAGGTGGTCAACTTTGCTGTAAACCCTTTTAAACTTCTTGAATTTCTGCACCTTGTGAATGTTTTATCTATTAAAAGGAGAATAAGGCAGGGTTTATGTTCCAATACGGAATGATCTCTAAGATATACTGTTACAAATAAAAATAAAGGGAAGGTACAAAAAAGTGTGTACAGTATGCTATACAGGGGTGGGGGCAGGCTTCCTTTTCATTATTTACTCTCTGGTATCTTTTGAATTGTGTACCTTATATATGCATTTCCTATGCAAAAAGAAATAAAAGAACTTAAAAAAATCATGGTGGGAGAATGCATTTTCACCTGCATCACCTTGACAATCCTTTGACTGAAATCTGCCAAGTATTTCCCCAGTTTTCACACGAAGGAAACAGACGTTCAGAGAAGTCCAGTCGAACAGAGCAGAGGTGGACCCGAGACCAGAACCCCGCGTTCCCCGCCACGCCCCGCCAGCCCTCCATCCTCCGCAGCCTCTCTCTGGGCGCCGGCGCACTTCCTACTCCGACAACTCCCCTCTACCCGCCCCATTCCCCTGCCCTTCCCGGCCCCTTCTGTCGGCGAACACAGCTCCTAAGCCCAGCCCCCGACAGTCTGCCCCGAGGGGCTTCACTCAGGGGGCCCTGGCTGGCGGCTCCCTGGTGTCTGACAGATTCTCTCTCTGCTCAGAGCGACCAACATGGGGGTGGGGGGCGGGATGGGCTGCTCCGTTCCTCCCTGGAGCCACCACCAGCGCTCTGGGACTGAACCCAGCCGCCCTGGCCTTGCAGCTCCCAGGCCCGCTGCCGCAGCCCGTACCTGTCAATAATGACTGGGTCTGAGGGCGTCTCGTTCCGGTTGCCACAGCTCTTCCGGTCACAGCACCGGCTGGAAGATAAGGAGGGAGGGACGGAGGAAGGGAGTGACGGAGAGGGAGACTACAGCGTGTGTGTGTGTGTGTGTGTGTGTGTGTGTGTGTGTGTGTGTGGTGAGGATGCTGATGTCCTGTCTGGGGAGAAAGGCAGTGGGGTCCTTTGCAGGGACCTGGAGAGCCTTATCCCCCAACCTTATCCCCCAGGGCTGGTGGGGATAAGGTTGGCCAGGAATCCCTTGTCCCAAAGGCATGCTGCTCCTGGAGGATCCAGGAAGGGGCAGGTACTGGCCACTTACAGGGTCTCTCCCTCTCTCTGTACAGCTCAATTGGGTAAGCAGGCAGCTCATGAATTATCACAAAGTGAACCCACTCATGTAACCGGCACCCAGACCAAGAAATACCACATAACCAGCACCCGAGAAGCCCCCTTGTGCCCCCTCCTTGTCACTACCTTTCCCAAAGGTAGGAACTGTCCCAACCAGATGTTTGAACACTATTCTCTTTTCAATGCACGAGGAACTACCTCCGAGGACCCTGTCTGTCTGGCATCTCCTGGGGAGACCTTGCCTAGAAATGCCAAGCTCTCAGGTAATGGGGAAAGGGAGCCAAGAGCTGTCTTCCCCAGACTCCACCTCATCCCACTCCACCCCTCCTCATCCCGCGCCGCCCCACCTAGGGAGCTGGCCTGAGGTTCACTAGCAGGCAGCAAAGTTTTCTCCCTCCTGCTTCAGAGCCACTCCAGGAGGCCCAGGCCCTGCCCCCACCTCCCCAGCCAGCCCTCCCCGGGGCTTTATTAGTTAGGCTTCCCAGTAGCAGCAGGAGGCCTCTAACAGAAACACTTGGAGAAGCCACATAAACAGGCCAGGCTAATGGGGCCTCAAGGACCCTCTCCTCAGCCAGCACTGTGCCCAGGGGCCACCCTCCTCCCTGCTTGCCTCCCCCACCAGGCTTCCCCAGGGAGCAGCAGGGAGGGGGATGGGGTGGCAGCACAAGGAGGCAGGGCCTGGTGGGAGAGAGTCCTTGGCAACCTCTTGGCCAAGGGACAAGGTGCAAGTGACCCAGCCCTTCTCACCTGCACATGATCTCGTGGGTGAGCAGCACTCGGCACATTTCGGGGTTCTTGTCCTGCCCCTCATAAATGATAGCCTGGGGGAGGGGGAAATTCACAGCTCAGGGGAAGGAGGCTCCTCTCAAGCCCAAGGGTAAGGGGAGAGATGGTCCTGCCCCCAGGGAAGATCATGCCCTCCAACTTGCTTTGGGAGGCCCAGGAGTGCAAAGCAGGAGCTGGGAGACTGGCTCCCCAAACCACGACCACTCCCAGGGTGGGCAAGAGTGGCATGAGGTCTACAGATTCTGTTTGTCCACAGCCAGTTCTACTTGGGGCCAGGGAGGTGCCCAAGACCACAAGGACCAAGGCCAGGCTGCCGGTGGGGTAGGCACACTCCTATCTCCACTGTTCCCATGCCCCTAGTGGACCTCTGCCTCCTGCTCACAAGCATGGTCCCTCTAGGCTATCACTACCAGCTAATCAGCTTCTCTCCCCATCTCTACCGCCTCCCCAGCCCAGGCCAGCTTCTCCCCCTTGGATTGTTGGATCAGCCTCCCCACCAGTCCCCCAGCCTCCACTCTCTGCCCTGAAGCAAGGAGTGAGCTACCTAAACTGCAAATCTGGCTTCCCACTTGATAACCCCCTGGCTGGCCTCTCAGCCATCCCTCATTGGTGGGGTCCCTCTCTCTCTGGACTTCCTCCCACCCCTTCCACACTTGTCCCCAACACAATCCCACTTTGCCACTGCCTGGTCTGCATTCCACACTGCGGTGACCACAGGCTTTCTAGAAACAACCCATTTCTTCCTCTGTCCTAGGATGGGGTAGAGGCTGCCAGAAGACCCTGCCTGGGTGGGAAAGCCCAAGTCTCCACCTTGCATTCCAGGCCACTGATGGGCACATTTGAGACTCAGCTCCCTCCTTACCAGCAAGTACAACTTCTCTGAAAAGCCCTGAGGCTCATGGCCCTTCCTCCGCAGGATCCATTAGGGCTTATTCAGGTTTCAGTCTCCCTGAGCTCCTTATGCTGGCCTCTGAGCCTCCTTCCTGTGATCTTCCACTTCAGCAAGGTGCTGAGTGTCTGCAGTAGAAGCTCCTGGGGGCCCACCTAGACCCCTTTACTGGACCAGTGCACCTATCCCCCCAGCTGTGGTTAGCGTTGGCTGCTAAGGGCTTTCTCTTGAGAATTGCTTTCAACAGATAGGAGCTGCCACCCCTAAAAATGTCTGGAAAGTCACACTCTCCCCTTGGGAGTGGTCTCCAGCCACTGACTGACTGATACAGGGTATGAATCTTGGCCTCCTTGCCTCAAGGGGACAACTCTGATACCATTCCTTCTCTAGAGCTCCCTGTGGATCAGGCTGAGGCTAGGCTCCAGCTGAGACCCCATTCTTGCTGAGCATCCCCTGCCCTGTCCCGTTTCCCTCCCTCCCCCCTTCTCCTGAGAACCCCTTCCCTGTCACCCCAATAAACCTCATACACCTGAATCCCCATCTAGGCTGGGCTTCTAGGGAAAGTGACCTAAGACAGGCCTTTTTACAAATATTGTCTTTTTCTAGACCAGAGGTCAAGGGCCACACATCCCTAGGTGGGTGAGAACTGGGGGAGCTGGACCAGTAGAGATGACGGCACTGGGGAGACAAGGGCAGGGATGTGGAGGCTCGCTCAGACCATGGGGGAGATGGGTCTGAGAGGAGGGTAGGACAGGCCTGAGCATGCCCTGGGCTGGCTCACCTGCTTGGACATGGAGTCAATGAGCCGCACGTAGAGGTCCTGCTCCGTCCGAAGACCTAAGGGTGGGAAGGTGGAGAGGGGCTTGCTGTATGGGGAGCACCTGTGGCCTCTGATGACTGGACCATGCTTCACACCCTCCCCACCTGCAGCCAGGGGCCTCCTCAGCCCTGAGAGTGGGGCATTATGTGTTGCATGGTGCTGTGGTACCCAGTGGGCAGTGGGCTTCACTCACCATTATTATACACCAAGCGGAGGCGGTAATGGATCCCGTTGTTCGTCTTTTCAGCCCCAGGCTCCTGCAGGGACAAGATGGGGAGGATGCTCAATAATGCCAGGGATCCTCTAGCCACCCCCACCCAACCCTCTTCCCTGACCTCACCCTCCTCCCACCCTTCCATCCATTCCCCTCCCCCCTTCTGTACTCCTCCATCTATCCATTCATCTGCCCCAGTGGAAGGGGGGTCTCTGAAGCCCTCCTGCCCCACCCCATGCTCCATCCCAGTGAGCCCATAAGCCTCTCACTCGGTCCTTTTCCACAAAGTCGATGAAGGCTGTGCGCTCCACCTCCACGGGCTGCCCCTGCCGGTCGTACATGGCCAGCACAAAGTGGAAGAAGTTGGATTTCCTGAGGTTGGAGGGGGGCTGCTTCTCAAAATGTGCTCGTGCCAGGCCCACGCCACTGTGGGAAGGAAAGGAGCTGGAAATTACCAGATATGCCCTCCAGAGAGAAAGACCCCATTGCCTCTGACCAGGTCAGTGGGCTGGTCAGGACTTGGCTCTGACATAGCAAGAGTTTGGACAAGAAATCAAATTAGATGGGCCCATTCCACCCTTGCCAGGGCCATCTCAGTTCCAGACAGAGGCCTCTCAGGACCAAGGTCACCCCAGCCTGCTCCCTTGGGAACAAGTGGCACAGCAGGTGGCAACAGAGGCATCCCTGCCAGACTCCCTCCCAGGCTTTTCCCTGGGCCCCACATTTCAAAAGGCTGATGTCCAAACCCAAATGTACAAACAGCCCGTCTTACTGACCAGATGCTCCTGTGACTGCCCTTTAGGGATCTAGGGGCAGCTGGGAGGCTCTGGAACAAATATCTCATTGTACCCCAGCTCATGGTTGTGTACGTGACCCTGCGGCGTTGCCTGGGAGATGATGATGTCCATCAAACTTTCAGACACATCAAACTGGCTCAGAGCCATTAGTCTGCCCAGACTGGACCCTGGGCCAGGGCTGAAGGCAGGGGATGCCCTCCCAAGGTGTAGAGGGACCTGCCTCCACACTTTGGGAAAGACAGCCACTGGCTCTCTTGGGCAGGAGGACCTTCTGGTCTGGCCTTGCCCAGGGCTTTCTCCTGGCTTAGCAGGAATGATTCCCAGAAGCAAGGCCAGGGCAAGAGCAGGGGGAGGAGAAGAACCAAGGTCATATTCACCGAATCTTTCCTGAGCCCCAGTGACGTACCAAGCACTGGACACATGGCACCAAGTGGGGCCAGAGTCAAATGCCTGGAAGGGGAGGGGAGACGCACACAGGGAGCTGTAACACAAGACAAAGTGGTGGGGGCCCCCAAAAGATATTACTATAGAAAAAGCTGTAGAAGCAAAGGAAGAAATGAATTCTTTCTGTGAGAGATGAGGGGAAGACTTGATGGAGATGGTGGCTTTTTCCCTGGTCCTTGAGGAATGAATAGGAGTTCAATGAGTGCAGTAGGCAAAGGGCAGAAGAAACAGCATAAGAAATGGCCATAGGTGTGAGGGTCAGTGTCACAGATTTCAAAAAGTGAAGTGAGGAGAGAAAAGGTTGTATGGGAAGTGCCAGACTATGCAGGGACATAAAAACCAGAGTTTAGACTTTCTTCCCTGGGCAAAGGTCTTCCAAAGTGTATTCCTTAGATCTCTCATGGCTCCAGATCCTCCCTCTACAAAAGAGTGCTATGGCCACAATTGCTGGGAAATGTGGCTTCCTAGCATCCATGAGTGTATACGGGGGCCCTGGGACACCCTCCAGGAGTGGACACCGGTAGACCTGGCTCAGGTTGGTCCTCCCCATGGGTAGTAGCCAGCCTCCAAGATGGTTCCCCATGATCCCCGCCTCCTGCTAGTCATGCCCTTGTGTGGTCCCCTCCCATATTGTATCAGGATTGGTCTGTGTGGCCAATAGAATATGGCAAAAATCATAGCATATGATTTCCAAGCTTAAGTCATAAAAGACATTGTGGTTTCTGCCTTGTTCTCTCTCATGGAAGCTGGCTGCCATGTTGTGAGGACACTCATGCAGCCCTATGGAAGGTCCACACGGAGAAGAACCAAGGCCTGCCAATAGCCAGCACTAACTTGCCAGCTGTGTGAGTGAGCCACCTTGGAAGCAGACCCACTAGCCCCAGTCAAGCCTTCAGATGACTGCAGCCTCATAAGAAACCCTGAGCCAGAACCACCCAGCTATGCTGCTCCCTGATTTCTGACTCACAAAACTGTGTGAGATAATGAATGTTTGCTGTTTTTCACTGCTGAGTTTTGGGGTAATTTTTATGTGGCAATAGATAAATAATACACCATGCTTATTATATTACAGAGCACTTTTGTTGAGGGACATGGTTTGGATAACATGACTAAAGGCCTGCAGAAGGTTCTGAAGCCAGGCCGGGCTTAGAAGATGCTGCAGGCGGGGAGTGTGCAGCGTGGTGGAACAGTGAGAGGCTGCTGCAGGGATGCAGAGGAGAGGATGAGGATGGTGGAACTGCCTCGAGAGCCATTTAGACCAGAGTCCCATCATGGACATGCCATTGTGACAACATCTGCCATATTCATCACTACTTAATATTTTTTTCCATATAATTTTAAATCAATTTATACTTACTTGATTTCATGTGAAGCTATAATATCTGGGATGTCATGGGCTTGAGAGGCTTGTTGTGTTTTTGCTTACACAGATTACAGTAAATACATAAACAATAAAATGAACATTGTTCCTCGTCCTGAAAGCCTGCTTGGGAGCCTCAGTGGTCCATGTGAAATGCTGATTTCACAGGCAGAAGTGATGAGTCTTGCTTGTCCCTGATCAAGAGGAGGAGGGGGGCAACCAACACCTTTTCTTCTCTACCAAAGGTCCTTTCTACGTATGTCCCTTTCTCCAGGGACGTCCATCCTCCCTCCATATTCCCTCCTCTCCCCGCCCCTCCCCTCCCCCTCAGGTTAGGGTCCTTTCAAGTCCAGGCCTTGACCCTTCTGCTTCCCATTTGCCAAGAGACTGGGAGGCCTGCAGAGGGCTTTGATCACAGCAGGTCCCTGATTACTGTTGATGAATATGATAATGAGGCAGCAATTCTAACTCCTCCCTCTTGCCCCCAGGACCAACTTAGAGGGGAACAGAAACTCCCAGGGACAGGTTCCAGGACCACCTGGGGGGAGAGAAAGCCAGAAGGGGGCGGGCTTATGGAACCTTCCCAGATCACTCTGCCCTTTATTCTGCCATCAAACCCAGGAAAGGCGCCTGGAAGGCTCTCAGACAGCAAGGTTGGAGGGTACAGAGAAAGGAAGAGGACTTAGCAGAGGAGGGGTGGACGCTGAGCAATAACACAATCCCCTAGACCACTCAACATACCCTTTCTACACACACCCCTGTACTCCCAGGCCTAGAGTAAATCAATGATGCTGACCTGAGCTTCCTCTCCCACCCACCCCTCTTGGCAAGTATCAGTCAGTCCTGGGTCCTGGCTGCCTCCTGGCTCCTACCAGGCTCCTAAGGACCAGACCTGGGAAGTCTAGCCTAAGCCCCAAGCCAAGCTCCCTTCACAGGGCCTGCCCTCCCTGCAGGAGGGGATTCCTGAGGAGACAGGTCAGGGCACACAGGGAGGGGAAAGAGAGCAGGTATCCCTGCCTAGGTTTGTGGACCAGTATCTAGTGCTGCCAGTTGGGGGGCATGAAGGGGCTGCACTGCCTCCCATGCCTGTGCCCTACCCAGCAGTGGAGTCAGGCTCAGTTCCACTTCCCCTGAGGCAGCCCAGCATCATCCTCCCTTCCCCACCTTGCTTAGTGGGTCTGAGGCACAACCATCCTCCTAGGCTCACACCCATCCACATAAGGCAATGGGATAGAGGTGGCTAGTTTACAGCTCCTGGACACGACCACTATCATGAATAACAACAGAACGATATGAATAAGAGCCCTAGCCCCATATAGACCAGGAGAGGACTGCAGAACAGGCAAGACCCATGCTGGGCACACCAGGGCTGCTCCTGGTCTGTGAATATCGCCAGTTTACCCAGTTCATACCCCTGCCGGACATGTGAGACAATCAAGGTGAAATGAAAAAAGGCATAGCTTTAAAGACACATAATATTTCCTGTGAACAAGAGACAGAGGATGAGAGAAGGATCAGCACATTGTCGAGAGCCCGGAGGCAGGTCTGGACTATGCCTTCCTTCTCCTGGTTCCCCCAGGCACCTACCTACAACGTGCAGTAGGTGCCCAGTGACATCCCTGGATGGAACTGTAAGCCCCAAAGTTGCGGGGGGCGGGGGGGGAGACTTTTGCTCTTTTCCCCTTGGGAATAGCTGATAGTCTTATAATGAGAAAACAAACCAAGATTAAAGAACAGGAAGAAAGGAACATAGAGATGTGCACAAACAACTCAGGACATAGACACAGGGGATGCCCAGGGCTCTGGGAGCCCCTGCTGGGCACACCCAGGCGCAGATGTATGGGATGCAGGTGGGAGCTGGGGCACAGTCTGCTCTCACACCAGCTAAGAGACTGAGAGATGGGGATGAAGGCTGATGTCTCTGATTCTGTGGTCTCCAAGGTGGGGTTGCCCAAGACAACCACTGGGGTGTGGGGAGAAACTGCAAGGATGTCTACTGATATGAATCCTTCATCTAAAAGAAAGAAGGGAAGCAGGAGTAGAGGCCCTGAAGTCTGGAGAGGCAAGGATTTTATTTGGGTTTCCCTAGAAGTGGATCCTGAGACAAGGTTGCAAATGCAAACAGTTTATGTGGGAGGTGATTCCAGGAAACACTGGTGGGGGTGGGAAGGGAGAGAGAGAAGGAGAAAGGAAAGGCAGTCCATAAAGGGTGTGTTATCAACAAGTTACCACTGTGGGCAACAGCAGTTCAATCCCACAGGGAGCTCAGGAAACAGTCTAGGACATGTGCTTCAGAGTTATCTACCCAGAGGGCTGGGGGAGGGAGCTGGGGAATTTATCCACCAACTCCAGTCAGTCATCGGTTCTGGGGCTTCATTTCTCAGGTACTTCTGGCCTGGTGTGCAAGTGGGCAGAGCAGGCTCTGGCAGCCTAAGAAAGTCTTGGGGGGTCAGACTGGTGGCAGAGTGGTTAAGTTCGTGTGCTCCGCTTGGGCGGCCCAGGGTTCGCAGGTTTGGAACCCTGGCGCAACCAACGCACTGCTTGTCAAGCCATGCTGTGGGTTATAAAGTAGAGGAAGATGGGTACGGATGTTAGCCCAGGGTCAATCGTCCTCAGCAAAACGAAGATTGGCAGCGGATGTTAGCTCAGGGCTGATCTTCCTGACACACACACACACACACACACAAAGTCTTAGGAAGCAGATGCGGGCAGGGGAAGCAGACCCTTTACCAAGTCCTGAGGGGATGAGGGTGGGGTACCAACCACCAGCCATCCAGAGGCCTGTGGTGTGATGGAAGCCAGCACGGCTACAGCCCAGGGCCTGA